GAAAACTAATCGTCCTCAACAGAGACCATGTGCTTTAATGAATCTAAAGGCTCGTCTACAATGGCCGTAGCAGTAAGGTTGTAAGGTTGTAACAGGTTGTAAGGCATGATCGTAGGATATACTTCCGGTGAAGTAGGTCGTAAGTGAGGTTGTAAGTAAGAGAGTTTATTTCAGACTCGTCTACAATGGCCGTAGCAGTAGAGCTGTAAGACCATAAAACGCAGCTGTAAGAATCTATTAAATATAAATTAGGTTGTAAGCATCTAAGTAAGGTCGTATGGCGAAATGAAAATTTTTCATTTCTTGCGTTCTACGTTCTACGTCGGACCAATCAACAAAGCAGTATGCTAGTTGGAAACGTCCCATTCGCTCTCGTTGCGGTTTCTCTCAGCCAATTAAATTCATTTGATGGATATTGGCGGGAAATATTCAACGCGGCCAGCGATATGTGTGCTCAGCGCCACGTCTGAGACCGAGAGCAACTTGAGAGCCGGGCGGTGGGGAGGAAACGTGTACGAACACGTATGAAGAGAAAGCACGTTGCACGTATTCAGATTCGAGTTGTTCAGAGTGGTTCGGAGCTCACACGTATGTACGTATATGTACGTGTATGGTGTCTCTTTGTGTGCTTATTCCCACCGCCCGGCTCTGGAGTAGCTCTCGGTCCCCGATCTGGCGATATTGTGTGTGTGTGTTGCTGCGATCTTCCTAAATTTATAATGTCGGGAGAAGAATTTGACGATGATGAATTTGAAGATGAGCTAGAGCTGGATGATAAAGAGCTCATTATGTGTGTCAGAGCCAACCCTTATCTGTATAACAAGTCAGACAAAAGGTATAGCGATAATGAGTTGAAAAATCTGGCTTGGGATCAAATTGGCAACAGTTTGACCAAGAAAAAAACAGGTAAGTATTTGAATAAAAATGTTTGCAAAATGACAATCAATTATTCATAATAAATGAGATTATGTATGCATAGGTGCTGAGGCTGAGCACAGATTCTTCCAATTGTGGCAGCGATTTTGGCGAGAGAGAAGGAAGGTAATTCAGTCGGAACCTCGATCAGGTGCTGGAGCTAGCCAACCAACATACACACCTCAATGGAACCTCTATAAGGAATTGATGTTTCTGACAGATGTAATAAAACATCGAAAGTGAGTAATTATTTTTTTGTGTTAATTTACATTGTTGCTTATTTCCACTAATCTTTTGTCACTTATTTAGAACTACCTCACACTATAGGAAGAAACAGTCAACCTCTCAAAAAACACAAGTTAACTTGCCTACAACAAATATTATTCTGCCTTTAACTGGCTCCAGTGGCTCCACATCAAATTCATCTTCCATATCGAACTTGTGGAACCAAGAATTAAGTGTTGCTGCGTCTGGTAACTGTCGTTTTCTTTATTTTTAAATCTTAAATTTTAATGTAAGAGATTCTAGTTTAAAAATTCTGACTTGAATTTTGACTACATTTACACAGCGGCTAATAATCCGGTTTAATAATTACAGTATACTAACTGATCAAGAAATTTTCTTCTTTTTATTATAATGATTACTTAAATATAAGCCTACTTTATACTCTAAACATATGAATCAATCTCTTGATATATATACGTTACATATGTTATATCAAGAAATTGATTTAAATGTTTTGAGTATAAGATGGGCTTATATTGAAATGATCATTATGATAAAAAGAAAAAAAATTTTGGATTAGATAATAATATATGGTAGTTATTAAACCTGATTATTAGCTGCTGTGAAAGTGTAGTCAATAGGTGCATCCAGGAGCACGAGTTGCTAAGTAGCGATAGGATGTAATTGGTTTTTACCTGTGGACCAATCATATTTAATTGCTACTTAGCAGCTCGGTAAATGGTCGTGCTCCTGGATACACCCATTGAATTGACTGGATAAAAAATTTTGGTTTTTTTTTATATAAGCTGTGTTCCGATATTCACTGTCAGTGCTGAAAATCTATAATTTACGTTACGTATAGATTTTCGGTACTGGCAGTAAATATCGGAACACAGCCATAATCTTATTTGGTATTTCTAGGTATCTCAGATGAGGCCGGTGAAAATTCGAGTAAGTCTGAGCCCTTACTACCACAGCAATCTTCTCAGCAATCATCTTTGTCAAATTCCTCACTTGCGTCTGACAATATTATTGAAATGTCTCCTGTAGAACAAATGCAAAAAAGTCTGAGTAAGTATGAAAAGCGTGTTCCAAAGTCTGATTACTGTACCAAACGGAAAAAACGAGATGGCGATAATTTTAATCAGTCAATGTTTGAACAATACAAAACCTTAAATGTTTTGGCAGAAAAAGTTGATAATGCACTCTCAAAACGTGCTCCACCTTCATGTATACCTGATGGTACAGAATCTTCACTCCGTCCTGATGTGAAAGCTATGCTAACTTCTACTGTTGCTTTTGCTGTACAACAAATTCCTGAATTTAAACAATTGGATTTTCTTATTGCCATTATGCAATTAGTAAAGCAATATACTGAAGGTGATGAAAAAACGTAATGAGAGTAATGAGTTGAAAGTATATAATACGTCTATGGTTAAAACAAAGTCTTATTCTACAGGAGATATTTTTATTAAAAGTCAGAAATTATTACTACTAAGCCAAATTAATTGTTGCGTATTATCCAAGGTCTTATATTATATAAGTATTGTTATATATATGGAGGGGTAAAAGTCGTGGGACGTGGTGTAAGTCAAAGTTCTTTGCAACTTGAAGCATATTTTGATGTCACATTAACATACAAAGAGTTACATGACTTAATTCTTCTAAATTCATTTTTGAGTATTCAAATGTTTTTAAATATTGACTCGTGTGCATAGATGCAATTTATATATTGTATAGATTGCATTTATACACACGAGTCAATATTTAAAAACTTTTACTTACGCCACTATGGTTTTTACCCCTCCATATGTAACTATTAAGAATTAATAGAAGCGTTTTATTTTAAATATTAAAAGTCACTCTAAATTATAGAGTTTTATTTCAAGTATTATAGTTACTGTACATTATGGAAAACGGTTTATTTTAATACATATTATCTTACTTTATATTCCTTCTACTTCATAATTATGAAATATTTTTATTGATAGACGTATAAGCCAAGATATTACAATTTTTCTTTTCTAAACTGTAATACTAGTTTTTTATGTACTTTAGTACAATTGTGATCAACTTTAACCAAAGTTTAAAGTATAGATATGTTGAAACAATTTATGTATTAAATGTATGTAAAATATATATTCTCAATAAATTAAAAAATCTGTTTCAAATAAAAATATTTTATTTTTGCCTATTTCCTATATATGGGTAGAAACTTATACACACTTATACACACATGACACACTTCTGGTATGATTTTGTATACTGTTGATCTTCCTACACGATACTCCAAATGCTTCGTTACCACACTATCGCCTTGGGCAAGATACCTACAAAAGGAAAAAACTTAAAAAATGTGAATTAAGACCAGATAGCACTATCATCAATTGTAGTTACTTACGTCAAGGTTACGGCTAATCTTGTATCTGGTGACAAAGGTTTTCGGATGCTGCGTTTTGTAAGATATAGTGTTACTAGCTCTAATAAAGTTCTGTATTGTTCCGGGTAAAGCCGTGTGTATGTGAAAAATTCTTCGTGATCAGTTGATCTCATTTCCCGAAATAGGTTATTCAGGAAACCCTGTTGTCGTTTCCTTCTATTGACAGGTCTCACCCACCAACGCCTGGTTTTCCTCTGATTATTTGCAAGTTGTAGCATTATATTTTGATGCCATATTAACAGAAAAAGAGTCACATAACTTATTTCTTCTAAATCCATTTTTGATGGATTGGACTACAACGCACCCAACCAGTACATCTATTTACAGCGATGTTCTTCAGGATGTTATCTACAGAATACACCAGAACGCGACCGGACGCGAAATCGTCCTGGCTAGTCAAAATGAAGGGTTGGGTCTCTCTTTCAAATATGCGTCTCCAGGAATTGCCTCAGCTTCGCGTTCGTCCGCTCGTCCTTCGGATCCGCCACACTCGCCTTGGGAAAGGGATCGCACTGGATGAGAGACACGATGAGAGTCTACTTCTTCTTCTTCTTCTTTCAAGTTGCTGGCACCGGGCAGTATTTGGCCCATAAAGCCATAAACAGGTTTAATTTTGAAACTATAGGTGTGTATTTATAATTGTGTCGATTGGGCTGCGAACTTCTCGGAATGGGACCGTCCGGCCAACACGACTTCAATAAAGACCGGGACCCGAGGGAATTTGCGCGCGATTCCACTACTCCAGTGAGGGTGTCGGCGAGGCCATCTTCAATCAACCGGCATCCTAGCACGGCTGTCGCTGGCGATTGTCCGCGCCGTCGGCGAGGCTTCGGGATCCTACAGGAAACAAAAAAAAAGACTTCGGAATCCGAACCGGATGGGAACTTCGAGATTACGTACCTCTCGAAGCAAAGGCTCGAGGCGTCTCCGTTTCGCAGTTCGCCTTTGCAGGTTAGGTTAGGTTTTCGCATGCTTGTAGCTCGAGGGAACGGTGCCGGCACGTGCCGGGCTTCCCGACGATCTGCGTCTCGTTCCCGGAAGACGCGATCCCGACAACAGACGGCTATCGATCGTCCTGGCGTGCGAATCCGCGCGACACACGTGCACACAATATACACACCCGCTACGCTGTTCTTGCAACAGACAT